TCCCCTCTCCGTTCTGTGTCTTCGTGCCTAGTTCTTTCCAAGTTTTGTCTATGTACAAGCTGATATCTTTTTGGTGGCGTGAGAAGGTCCCCTATTACGCCTTCATTATGAGGATGTTGTGACCTCGACGATTACATGCATTTTTATGTGCGTTGGTGAGAGAGTGTGAAGAGCGGGATGTGCTCAAACGAACGACGAGACGATTACGCTGATGAGTGTTCCAAGCAAAGTGGTATTGAGCGAGGGTAAAGAGGGGATTGCACCGCTCTTCTTCGTAGGGCTGGGAGTTGCTGTGGCGGTGAAGAGTCCTGTGAGAACTTGTGTGGTGGTGACTGTCATTGTGCCAGTAGAGTCTGGGCTTGCACTGGAGCTCGACATAGCGGAGCTAATGTCTGAAGAGGCACTGTACAAGATCCCGTTGACAATTGCGCCCTTTTGAGCGAGTATCATCGCTTTTTGGTTTTCGTTACAGGTCGAACCAATGTTGCGAATATAGCAGGTATTCGAGGGAGATGGTGGTAAACTTGTGGTATGTGTCGCGTTTGCAGATCCAGTCGTATTGTACAATGATGGATTAATGATTTCGCCGGTGGAGACGGAAGTTCCTGACATGATCCTTGCGAATACTTCAAATGCCGTTTCGGGTTGATACGCTGGAACAGCATGGCCTGCGTCATAGATACGGCTGAACGAGAGATTTCCATATTGACGGACGACACCACCAATGTAAGAAGAATTGGTGATAATAGGAGCATACCCAGCAGCCGGGAAGAGGGATGCATATGAGGCTGAGGTCTGAGCAGCAACAGCCAACGATATTGCTTCTCCGCCAAACCAATTGCAGATATAATCTCGATCACCATACATTAATCCAACACGTACCCCTGACCTTAGCAATGCAGCAAGTTTCGGCACTAAAGCCTGTCGCTCATAGTCTCCAGTTGAGGTAAATGCGCTGACTACCTGGTAGTTTGTCTCTGTATAATTGACTGGAGATCCTATGGCGGCAAGAAAGCTTGCGGTGTTGAGGTAGTCGATGTACGAACTTGACGGGAAAGAGTCTGGGACAGTATGCGATATATCGTAGTAACTTCTCCCGGCATCGGAATATGGTTGCATGACATTCGAGGTACAACTCTTGTAGGCAGTCGAGCAGGCTGTGCTGACAGCATCAACATCTCCATCATTATCCGGGTCCTGACTGGCAACGGCAGTACGACAGGACTTTATGAGGTCTCGACAGCCTCCAGGTGCAGTAAAGCTTGCTGCTGCTAACTGGGCTCTCACAGGATTGATAGAAGCGTAACCGAAAGTATTGTTCATTGCGAACGCTGGGTAGTATGGCGCTTGAATAAGGTCATCCACACACCCATTGACTATCCCAAGGGAGGCAAGATTAATATCCAATGTTCCGTTCTTGGATAAAGTGCCATTTGATCGGCGCTTGTTTTGTTCTGCCCATAAGGACGCAAACGCTGGTCCATATTTTCCACCGTAACTTTCAGCGAATAAATGAACTCCAACTGCCGTGCTATTTGGTCTGTACTGTGGGAAAGCTCCAAGGAAACCCTGAAGCATATGCCATATTGCCATGGCGGCTATCTCTGTGGTATTCGCAGTATTACTTGTTTTCAGGGAGCTGAAGGTTCCATTTAAGAAGGTGAAAGAAGGTTGGGAGCTTGGTAGTACTTGAGGAGGCGTGTATAAGTTTGAGGTAAGGAGGTCGAGTGAGCCATTGGTAGGCGTATCGTAGGAGAATCCAACTTGGTTTGGCTTTGAGGAATTAGTAGGAATGGTATAAATGGTTACGACGGCGGTTAGGACAAAATATAGACAATCCTTAAAACAATGGGACTATAAGTAGTAAAGCAGAGTCGAAATGCCATGTTAAGATGTCCGCTACCTTGGCAACTTGCCAAGTGCTTGTCAAAATCTTCCCCAAATTTGTGTAACCATAACAGAGATGGATGTCATACCTGATCGATATAGAGCATATTCGACCCTCGATCCCAGCCCCAGTCTCTAGCCTTAGTCGCAAACTTTCCCTGCGCAGTTTGAACTACTTCACAGGGGCCATTCTCAGTGAAGAGGCCGATCATCGAGCTCGAACCTGGTCCTCCATTGAGCCATATTGTAAGCTTATCCGTCGGGTCTCGTCCTGCTATGAACCAGAAGAATATATTTGATGAGAAGTTGCCCGGAACGTTTACCCAGCCAGTGTACTGCTGTTGATTTGAAAAGACAGTCTGGCATGTGCCGGTGGGTGGGGATTTGTATGAGATGGAGATGTTCCCATCAACGGGCGAGGTTATCGTGGTTAAGTTCGACAAGGGCGGATACTGAGCGAATACAGCTGGTATGACGAAGGAAAGGAGAGAAAAGAGATACATGATCTTTCAATCATGGCTCTTCGTCGATAGATGTCGAGGAGAAAAGAATGTCGGGCTCTGTCGGCAGAGGTTGAGGGTGATGAATCCTTTTGATGGGGAAAGGCTCTAGCGAACCTCAAGTGGATCATGCTGGGATGGTGTCTCACCGGTAGGCCTGTCAGATTATTGGTCGTTTTGCTATGATTTTTGTGTTTCTCCTCTTGTTTCTCTTCCATACATTTTTAACAGCCTGAATCGCTTTTCTTTATCAGAAACAAGCGTGTGCCTTCAGTGGGGAATGGTTACATTCGTACTGGCGCATCGCGTCAGTTACTCTGGTTCCCCGGGTTTATTTTGGACGGCAGCATTTGAGTGAGGCTGAACAACCGTGCGTGAGAGTAGGCGCTGTACCTGCATCCCGTCTAGAGTCCGTGTTTCTTTTTTGAGCTGAACTCCCCTGAAATCTGCCTTTGAATTTGCCCAAGACGATTTTGCGATATTTTTATTGCATCATGCTATCTACACTCATTTATCGTTCACTTTTCTCTCCTTGAGCTTGTTGACGGGTTCAACGTTGACACCGAAAATGGGTGTCACTGCCCCGGACATCATCACCTACATTGGTGTGCCCCTTGCAGTGCTAGGCGTGTTGCCGATCATTTACAACACTATCGCAACTCTGGCAACTCTAGCCAAGGTCAGACGGACTTTGCGACATGGGCGCCTTGCTGGAATCACGAGAGGAGATGTCGTGAATCACGTTATTGAAGTAGAACTTCCGCGGTACACCATAGCACCTCTGCATCGGGAAGAGCAAAGTTCAGAGTATTGGGATTTGTGCAAATACCCAAGTCATATCCCGGGTGGAACATGGACGATTTTCAACTGGAAAAGTCATACTATCGGTTTAAAAACTCAGAGGATTGATTATGCTGATCAATTGAGACAGCCCCAAGCTGAAATCGGATTCGAGGAATTGATATCATTTCTTCTAGACCTAGGAGCTGTTCCAGACCCCGCTGGATTCCGTATGCTTCGTGGTAGTGGTCTCTGGGTGCCTACAGGGACACGATTGCTCCTCTCGCCGGACGGACATGAACCAGTACTTACTGTAGCTCCCTTAGATGATTCTGATGGAAATCTTTCCTTGGCTGTGAGATGGTCCTCGAATTGGGGTATGAGGGATCCTGCATCACTACCTCCTTATTGGGTTCTTATAAGAGGCTCGGCATCGACTGAGCCTGTGACTTTCCGAAAGAGCATTGAGAAGGAACCATCGGAGGTGCAAGAAAAGGAGGGCGAGACTGAAGAACCGGTACCGAGTAAAACCTCAAAGTACACTCCTGTCGTTGAAGAATCAGTCATTGACATACGTTGCCAAGTTGGGATATATGGCCTTATTTCTGCCATCGCAGATGACACAGAACCTTCCCTCTTCGAGGCTTACAATGTTAACCATCTTCTCGTTGATGAAAGCCTTTCTAATAGCACCGGTATTTGGTTTGCCAGCGCTATAACAGCATTTGGAACCACCTCTCAAACAATTCTCTGGAACTATAAAATCCCAACTGAACTACTCTCTTTCTCGAAGAAGGATACTATTCCTTGTGGAATTCTCGTTCTCCTGGACATCATCCCAGAATCTAGCACCCCGGAATGGGCAACAAAATATGACGATCAAGAAGAAGCCCGGGAAGCCCAGTTCCGGAAAATGAGAGAAAACACCAGGCAAATGCAGAAAGAGAGTTCCATGACCCCTGAGCAAAGAGCAAAGAGTGTTCGAGAAAGGCAAATCAAGAGCCATGAAGACTTTGTAGATACAATGAATGCGAATAGAAGAAGGGATGCTCAAAGGGCCGAAACGAGAATGATTGAAGCCTTGCAAAGCCCGAAATGGGACCATGGCTTGGTTGCTGAGCATATGTTGACTTGGCTGAAAAAGGGAGGCCACGTTGAAGAACAGCATGACTTGAAAAGGGCGGTCGAGGTTTTGCTTTGGAGAATGGTAAACGATGCTAAACTTGCAACGGAGCTGGACAAAATGCTGGACAGCTGGAAAGCTTTTGTAGATAATGGGGGGATTCGAAAGGCAGACTATCTTGCTTTGAAGGAGAATCTTCCCATGTTTGCGTATGCGAGCTTAATGCTTGCGCTTATCAAAGATTCGGTGGCTGCCGTGAATGGATCGTTGGCGATGGATCTTCAGGAGTGTATAAGGATTTGGAAGAGGGTTAGATTAGGATGAAAGGGTATCAGATATAATTTTGAAATTCCAGCATTCTTTTGTATACGAGCAGGAGTTATTTGCTGTGGTAAAGTTTGATCTGATAGCAAATGGTCGACTGTAGTTGCGACAGGTATGCTCGCTACAACAGGCCTGTGGAAGCTGAAGCCTTATCTCTCACCAATAGTAAATTGCAATTGCAACCACTCAGTTCTAGAATAAATTATAATCAGCAAATAAGTTCTCCACTTTCACCGAATCCTTGACAGGAAAGTTGTAAACGAAACAATGCAGTGTTCCGAGCCGAATTTTCTCCATTCCCAGCCTTCTCATTTTCATGTTTGGCCCCCACCACGACATATATTCAATTAAGCAATGCAAGTCTCAACAAACATATTAAACATAATGGTTGATTAGTGTAGTGGTTAGCACGCAAGATTCTGATTGGATGTGATAAGTCCACGATGTTTCTTGAGTCCCCGGTTCGAACCCGGGATCGACCTAAAGATATTTTTGTCTCTGTTCTCATATTCTTTCCTTTCCGTATTTTGACTTTAACATTTAGTTAAATGTGAACCCCTGTAAGGATGTCTATAGAATTTAAGTAGTTCATTTAGTAAGGGGATTATGTTTTATCTGTTCGAAATCTCTCGATGGAGTCAAAAGTATCCTTGCTTGGTTTGTGTCTGAAGAGAGGTTTTACGCCACAAGAAACGACGGCCCGAGGGAACACGAAGCATATTTCTATATTAATATCAACTAAATCTTGTATTCTGTATTATTTTCCGTAAAGGTCAGCAAGAAGCGGCCGCTCGTCAAACCCCTTTTCCGTTGATAACAAAACAAACGAAGGCCCTCATTACCGAGAAAGATTGCACGATCACAAATCAACTGAAATCCCATGAGTATCAAGGGCCTGCGTGAACTCTTTTCTCCTGCAGCTTTTGAAAAATAAATCTCATAGTTTCATTCTATGGCCTGTTTCCTAGCTTCCAATGAAAGAAACCATTCTGTTCATATTCAAAATCCCACCATCCTAGGCTTAGCACTTGACCACTCATCAACTATCTTAAGCTAAAATGAAAGATCATTTAAAATACTGTTGGAAATAATTCACAATGAGAGAGGGTTTCATACCCGTGCTTCAGAGTATTTATTCACAGAACCAAAAATTCTGGATGGTGAATTTTTTATTTCAACGTATAGCACCTCTGATACGAGAATGAGCCACACACGTGAAAATCCTTTCAAAGTACACAACCCAAATTTTTAGTAACACTTTCCTGACCACAACAATTACAAATATTAAGAAGACTAGCTTGTCAATTGTCCATAATAGAGGATGATTCTCCCTACGTATCCGTTCATGAGCGCCTCACTATCGCCTTCTACGGAGGCATCCATTTCCGATCTTGAAATCTCTCACAGAACAACTTTGGCAGTACATTTCTTGATTTATCCAAAACTAGCACATGGTTCAAGAAAGAAAGGATTGATGAGATCGCGTATGATAAATGTTGGAGTAGCCCAGGGGAGCATTATTAGAATTCATCTGATGCAAGTTGTGTATATTCACATTGCATTCTTGGTTAATATTCAGTGGCTGAGTTCAGGAATCTTGTCATGCTTGTAACCAGTTATAGGAAGTAAAAGGAAACATGGGTTGAGATTAGGAGAGAAATAGCGTTGCTCAAGATAGATGAATGGAAACGAAAAGATTTTATTGTTGTTTTTGTACTCAAGGCGATTTTGGGCTTTTCTTTTGCTATTCATTACATTTAATTTATATTCTGGATTGTGCAGTGATACTATCAGTATATGGCACCGTTTATATATTAATGATAATAGTGCATATTTCACCTTCTGCAAGAAAGCTAGCGGCCAAATACACGTCATGAAATGTAGTGGCGATATCCAACATTTTTTCTAGCTAAAACTGCTAGCTAATATTTGCACTGTATGAATCTAGAGCAAATTCTTATCACCGCTTCACACGCCCCGGCCAACCAAGCACCCTGACAGTGAAGTAGGGTGGGCATGGTTCATGCTAGGTCCTTGATGTTGGGGTGCATCAAGATTTTGGAAGATGGGAATCGGAATATTTGAGGAATATGTATCTGGGATCCGGAATTTGGGATCGTAGACATGTTGATTACCATGGAATGTTTCTCCTTAGTGGCTTATCATCTACTGAAAGGATTCTTTGGACGAGATGGCCCATAGGTAGAACTGCTTTATAGATTGGCTTGAATAGCGTGTATTGCCATTTTTCTAATATTGTTGTTATGTGCAAATTTTGGGCGGAAAATTAATGAAAGCAAAATTTGGAAGAGTATCAGAGATTGTATCTTGGAAGTCACTGAAGTTAATGGCATGCATGTTTGAAGTGCTTCCCTAAAGAAACCACAGCCATCCTTAGTGAGCAATGCCTTTCATACGATCTCATTTAACCTCCTTAATCCCAATATTTCTTGCAGCTTCTTGCCAACTTATAACCCTCTAACCACATGAGCTACTCGCTTATTCGTACCTTCAGAAAGGGGTAGATTGTATTGAAAAGCACTTTGATGGAACAACCATATCGACAGGAAGGAAAAGAAAGAAAGAAATTGACTTTGTTGGTCGGAAAGGCAAAATAGTCAAGCCCGACTAATGTCGACGAATTAAGGTACCTCATTTCCTATCTCGTACCCATGTGGCCTCATTGTGGCCATTAATGATTCATCCCTAAAAACAACTACACCTAACCACTGCGTTATGGAAGCGCTCTTGTACTTGCAGTTATATTTGGGCCTAATTGAATTTATATGCTAGCTTTGCAGCTTGCTGGGAGGCTGTAGTTTCTCCGCCAACTGGTCGCTCGCTTACCGAACACCCTTGTTTGGGTAATCGCGTTAGTCTATGATATTGAGTTGATACAGGAAAATCTCTCTAGTTCTTGCGAGTATGCCTCGAACTTCCGCCTTGATAACATGCTCACGAGCCGCCGCATTCGAACAAGAATCTAATCCAACCAGGGAGCACACCATTGGTAAAATGGAGGGTACTTCCGAGTACTGCTCAGCCATCAGAGAGATCGCGAAGATTCATCCTCCATCCAGATATCGATCCGTCTTCGAAAAGATCACCAAAACTTTCTACGATGGCTCCTACGACCGAGTAGAACCTTGTAACCATTTGCGCGACAATTCGGACGATGAGTTCATGTATCTCTACCTGAGAACTAAGGAGTTATGCGTTGCCCTCAAAACTACAACTCAAGTATCTGGAGAGTGGGGAGAAGGCTTCTTCCAGTATACCCTTGAATATATCATGTGGAGTGTTCTACACAACGGCCAACGACCATTCCCTAGTATTAAACCGAAGCAGGATGCGACATTCGCCGACTCAGTCCTTTTATTGCAAAACGCAATTAGAAAGTATAGTCCCCATGGTTCAGAGATGCAAGAGAAAGCGATGCTTAATGGTTCAGCCTACAGGGAAGTTGTGAGTATTGGCTTCTGATGGAGGGAATTGAGAACCTTCAAAGGCTAACTTTCCATTGTAGCAACGTGAGCGATCTTCGACCCCAATTGCAATATTCACATCCCGATGTGAGCAACATTGTGTATCCCTAGAAGCCAGGACGAGCACCGGCATCAGTATTGATCTTTACAAGAAAACGAAAGCCAGAGAAGATACTGCCATTCAAGCAATTATTGACGGCCTCAGCAATCCAGCGAAACAGGAGCAAAGCGGGATCAATTACAAAGATAACCCATTCATGCACGTTTCAGAGTTTATGTATGTGTACCCAGGGGACAGCGATATACTAGAAAATTCTAGGATCAACACCTCTAGTGAAGTCACCATCCAATGGTCGACAACAACACCATCTGCTGCTGCTGCGGGAATCCATAAGTTGCCAGTCCAAACCATAGCCCCATACCAACTCTACACAGGAGAACTCTACACAGGAGTCGAGAGCAGGGCTCTGAAATCTGATGAGCTAAGTCCACTTTCATACAAGGGCTCATGCGACTCTCCGCTTCCACGACTGTCATGTCTAGCAACACCAGACGAGATGAGCAAGGCACTGCCGCCAAGCGGACGCCACACATTGAAACCTATACTCAAGAAACCCAAAGCAGGACGTGTCATGAATTCTTTGTACGATTCAATAATTGACGGAACAAAATTTACTGAACTTACCAACTCAACACATCCTCCACATCCAAACAGTTTCACAAAGGAATCCTCCCCCTTACCATGCCAACCACAAACAAAGCTCATTAAAGCACCTAAACACATCCCAGTACGACAACTACCTGTTCGAAAGCCTGTAGAAGTGCTAACTGCTTTCCCCGAAACCCAAGTTATAAACGAAGAGTTCTCTTCGAAACTCTGGAAACCGGTGGAAGTTAGGCAAGATGGAAAGTTTATGAAAGGTCTAACCCCCGTATCTAAGAACAATGAGAGAAATGAAGAGAGCCATTGGACACTTCTGAATTCAATGAAACTGGAACCAATTAACAGAGAACTAGAGGAAGCGGAGAGATATTTTCATGGTTTTGATGATCTTTCCGAGTTGAAAGAGTGGTGGAAATAGTGGTGTTACTAATTTCTTTGGGAAACAATAACGTGAAGGTAAAGATACTACTGTAATAGTATCCAGGGTATGTAGGATTAGAGGGTATTGCAGATGGGAAACGAGGCAATACATATTTGTACTAAGAAAGGCAATAGCCGCATGTTTTTCAGTCATGGTGGCTAGCGCAAGCACCACAACAATACTGACTAGTATTTACAACAGAATGCCATGTAACAGACTATGACAAATACAAATCTCAGTATTAACGTTTGGAATATGACAAACACACCATTACCACTACCATTACGAGTAGCACCCCCGACTCAATCCTCTACCTTCCCTCCCGACTTCCATTTCACTCACTTAACACTTTCTTACTTCTGTTAACCATCATCAAACTACTATTCTCACTCATACCAATAGCCTCTCCGGCCTTTTCACCTTTATTCGAACGGAGGATTGAATGGCTTGGCAGAGGAGAGGAACATGGTTGTTTCGGGCCTGGAGATACAACGGTTCCAGGTGTGGAAGGTGCTGTTGTGTTTCGGTTTTAGGAATGCAGAAAAAAAAAGAGATCTGTGCCGAGATAACTAGCGATAATTGCCTAAAATTATGAAGTTAAACTTACAGTGATTCTAAATATCAAGCACTTGGCCAAGACGTAACAATTTTTGGCTTCTTTGCGTTCAACTACCATGATAATGGCTTTGAATTCCTCATCTTTTCAGTCAGCTATAATCCTTTCCAGGATTCCTTCGTGATATCATCCATCCACGCATTATTCTAGTCCCTTCAAGCCTTGAACTGTTCGTTTAGACAAGTAGTGTCTTTAACATTTCCCCAATCATTTACCGATCGACTTTAATCGCTCAGACACCACATACCAAGGTGGTGAGGGTAGGGATGAATATGTTCACAATATTTCTACCATTA